TATTAGTACTACTAGTTATTAAAGAAGGTATACAGTCATCATCATCGTCTTATATAAATATGCTGACATCTTCTTTTGAAGTAGAAAAAAAATTTCTATAAATTTTTTTATATTTTATCCGTTAAATATTTTCTTTAAAAAATGAAAAATGAAAAAAATAAGTTCTTTAATGAAAATAAGGACAACAGACTCTATTAGTGAGCAGTGGCAATCCACATTAATAGAGCAGTGTTCTTTAATGAAAATTAATTTTTTACTTATATATCAAACATCAAAAACTAAATAAAAGTTCATTTATTTATTTTTGAAAAATCCTTCATACCAAAACATCTTAAATGTTATTTATTGTTCATTAATTTTAAGGTAGACTAAAATATCGCCATCAACTCACCGCAACGGTCAGTTTACATTTATATAACACTGAAGCAGGTGCAGATGATATAGAACCTTATTTTCTCTGTTTCTAATGTTTCGAATTATTTGCTTTTTTTTTTTAGTTATTCGTAGTTATTTGTTTATTTTAACGAATTACTGGTCAGTTTTGAGCTGTCGAGTGACGATTGCTGTATCTCTTAAGAAAGGACGCGGGGGCCTGTCTTATAATAAAGGGGTACTCGTTTCTGTGATGTGCGCTATATTATTGTGTCCTATTCAAAGAATATTTTCACCTATTATATTTTTAATTAATTATTTTGAAAAAAATAGATTTTTTTAAAAAAACTTAAGTTTTTAGTTTATTCACTTCATATTAATAGAGGTAAAATAATAAACTCATTATATCAATAATTATTTTCTTAATATGTGGATCAATTCAAAAGTGGATTAATAATTATTTAATATATGGAATAATTCAAAAGTGATTAAATAATTAGGGACAGAAAAAATACAAGTGTCAAAATCCGCATGCTTTGGTAAAAAAAATTGAGTTATCATATTAAAAGCAAAAATTTCTATATTTTATATTCCGTACCATATTGATAATACATATTTTTGTAAGTTCAATTTATAAATAAATTTGATAAAACTTAAATTAGGTTAATTACATATGATTTTACATATATATATGTATATCCTTGGAATTTTATCTTTTGTAACAACCATTAAATTTTGAGGACACCTTCATGAAGGGGAAAGAAACAAATAAAGTGAGGTTGGAGCGGTGGTGTTAAACAACCAATTATATGTCATGCAAATCTAACACCTAGCTCATAGTTTTCTGTGCCAGCAACTACAATTTATTTGTATAATCATGAATTGGTCTTGTGTCAATCTGAAATTCCACCCCAAAGGGGAAACACTATATATAACGCTTTGAAAAGTTACAAATTTGAAAAATCTTTTTATACTTTAATAAAAAGGTATTTGTCTTTCATTGATGGAAGAAAAAGAAATAGGAGAATTTAAATATAAAAATAATCATATTACTTGTTAAAAGAGTTGAAAAGAGAAATCCCCTTGCGCCGTCGTCGTCACTTATCTCGACTATGAATTTGAAAAATGATTAAGAATTTATTTATGGACAAAGTTTAAATGTTTTTAATTAATTAGTTGATAACAGAAACGATGTTATTTAGTTGAAATTAACTGAAAAAATCAACTTTTTAGTTGATTAATCTGACCCATTTTTTAGTTGATTAACCCAATCCGACTCGAATCCACGCGCGACTCGTTTTAATTAAATTTCTCGCCGTTTTAGAAATGACTGTTCTAAAAGGTTGCATCTTTCAGGAACAGTCAGTACCATTTGAAAGGTTGCAAACTTTCATTAATGGTTGTGTGGATTCTGAAAGGGTTGCAACCTTTCGGAACTTGTTCCTCTTGCCTATAAATATCATTCACGCTTCAGAATTTTTCCTTACGAATTTTTCTAATCTCTTCTTCTTTTTCTGCACAACAATTACTTCGTGTAATTTACTGTTGTTGAGTGGTTAGCTGACACCAGAGTTTTTGGTATCTATACTCTCGTGATTGAGATCATTTTACATTGGGAGGTCATATTCCAAATAAAATCTCGAATACTAGATTTCCTTAAGGGGACACTGTGAGTTCAATGGACTTGATCTTTTCCTCTTAAAATTTTTCTAGATTATGGTACGTGTTTTACAGATTTTAATTTTTGTAAATTAAATTTATGTTTTTCTTTCTTACTGATTCAATAAATTTTGGTTACTTCGTGTTTCTGCAAAATTTATTGAAATCAATAATTCTAACTTTTTATAACACAGATTGGTAATAATTTTAAGGAAATTATTTTATGATTATAAATCTTTGTTTCTGGCGGAGACAAAAATCTTCGTGATTTTATACTCCTTGAAGTCTGCAATTATAATTTATTGCTTATTAAGACTATATCGACTTTTGTTTATCAGAAATGGCAAATAACGGTGTTACAGTGGTTGTTGCTGCACCAACTCGAACCGTTGTACCACAAGAAGAGAAACCGGGTAAATTCACTGGTGCAAATTTTAAAGGATGACAGCAACGAGTATTTTTCTGACTTACCACTCTTGGTCTGCAGAAATTTACCCGTATATTAACATAATTTTTAATATCATTTGTAATAACATTCACAATCTTAATTATTCGTTGTTCTTATGATAATATATTTTTCTATTAAAAAGTTGCATTTTATAAATACAATTTTTGTTTGTGAATATAAGATAAAGTTGAATTTACTTGCCTAATTTTTATGTTTTATTTATATTTTGAGTTCTTTCAAAATGTTCACTCCATTACTGAATTGCATAGTTAAAGCAATCCCACCTTTTATTTACTCATATCATTATCCCCTATAAGTTTCACAAATTTCTAAAATTTTTTATTTTTTTCTTAATAAAAAATGTCATTAATGTATCCGAACCTCATAGAAATGCACGCCTAAAAATATTTAAGCTAAATAAGATGAAAAATTTTATTTTTAAGAATGAATAACTAAAATTTGCAAAGAAAATGTAGAAAAACAAAAAACTAAAGAAGTTGGAGCGTATTCTTCTTCTTCTTTTTTGTAAACAAACAACTGCCTCTTAGAAATTACGTAATGAATGTAAGTTTGAATATGACAAACCTAACATGCAATAAAAAATAATCCAAGCATAACTTATCTCAGCCAAATGCGAACTCAAGATTTGAGGTGCACCACCAATTATAATGCACGTTAGTTAAAGTATGTAATCCAATATTGATTTATATGAAATACAAAACTACGATATACATGTATAAAAAAATTAAATGACTCTAATCGATAATGCGTTATGTGAAGTGGTGATTTTAAATTTCACTTTGCACCATGGGGTAACAAAAAAAAACAAGAAATGAGGAGATGGGGATTCAAACTTAGTCCATCCTAAATGAAGTCCATTGTCTATACCAACCAACCCAACTAGCTTTTATCTTTGGATGTCTAAAACAATATATGTCTATCTTAAAATGTATGTATATGTATATATATAATTTTTTAAAGTTAACGAATGCACGTGCATCTGTAAAAATACATGTGAATATGCCTCTAATCTCAACATAACTAATTCAAAAATAACTTGTATTTCAACCAAACATCCTAAAAAGATGAAATGAGATGAATGAAATCATCACTCTTAATAAAAAGTTAAGGGACATTTGATTTTTTTAAATTGAAGAAGAAGATAATTTTAGTATATAATAACAATAATACTGGTAAAGAAATAGACGAGTGCTCCATACTGAAACCTATTCTATTATAGCACTAGAGAAGAGAAACAATCAACTACCACTTATCATCTATTATTATAATTTTCACACTTTTATACTTTTTTTTTATCTATAGTCATGTCTCTGAAAATTTATTACTATATTATATCTAATTGCCTCTCTTCAAATTTTTTTCAAACTTATTATTTTTAATCTCTCGCAACTCCTCGTTAATAAAACATTTGTATTTACTCCTCTTTACATGCCCAAAACCAAGAGCTTCACAAACATTCATTCCTCCAGCCAAGAGCCATCCATGTGTGCGATGGTAGCACATCTATTAGATTTAGTTGCGCAGTCGTCCTAATAAATAAGATGAAAGTTTAATTTTAAGAACACACGGCTTAATCATGGAAATGCACACACAAAATATTTAAACTAAATAAAATGAAAATTTTATTTTAAAGAATGAATAACTAATTAAAGCTTGCTAAGAAAATGTAAAAAGAAAATAAAATAAAGTGAAGGGAATTATTGTAAACAAGCAACTTATTTTTAGAAATTATGCAATGAATATAAGTTTGCATATGACAAATCAAACAAGCAGTAAGAATTTCAACATAACTTATCGTAACATAATTAATCCCAATATAACTTGTATTAAACAAATACAAGCAACACACAAATATATATATGTCGTGTATTTTTCTTCCTCTTCGATGTAATAGATAAAATTAGTTTTGAGATGTCAAAAGTTTTTGCCACAAATTTAAAGACATCTTATGATCCAATTTTTTTTCCAACGTCGCAAGTATGGTAGAAAAGAAAAGACCGTTTTTACCAAATTCGATGCATAAAATCAAGGAATAGAACCGTAAGTTTGAACGGAATAACATATTTGGTATTATATGATTATTTTTTTTCTCATTTTCTTTTTAATTAGCCCAATATCACGAAACTATATCGCTAATTATTAGCCTAAAAGGAGGATTAGAGGGAGGGTAAATATACTACATTACATAAACTATTGCTACGCCTTAGGTTTAGTAAATATGAAGGAAAAAAACATATTTCCGTATTTTTGTAAAAAGGGCTTAAATAGTTATATCATGTATGGTATGATTTTCTCCCATTGTGATATTCACTACATAAACACTTTCTTATTATTTTAATCATCGCATTAACAATTGCCCGTAATAATCCTGTGTAATTAATTTGCAAAACAGATTACTACTATGGTAATACTCCCTCCATCATAGTTTAAGTGTCTAAGTTTGATTGTACGGAGAGATTTTTGCATCTTGTAATGTTACATTAAAGATGTGTGTAGTCAATTAAATTGGGAATAGCACCAATCAATCGAAATAATAATAATAATGTTCTTTTTTTTTCTTCCTTGTAAAAGCTACAATATGAGCAAATCCAAAACTTGCTAGGATGCAATCTGGAAAACTCTATTATACCAAATAGAATGAAGTATCATGTAAAAGGTGTCATACTTTACTGGTTGAGGGTGCCAAAGGAAATGTTGTTGTACCTTCATCACATTGTTATAAAGGTTCAGATACCTTCTTAGCGGGATTGATTCGAGTATAGACTTGAGATTGGGAATGTCCTTCTCTTGAACGAAAACAGCAAATGTTTCCCAGTTCAATGTCTCCAAAAATGGCGGTACAAAGTTATCAGATATGATCACAGGAACACATTGGTAGGAAATGGACTCCACGACTCGTGGACTGTTCACTTCATGACCTCTTGCGCATATACAGTACTTGCTGCTCTTCATGTGGAGGATATAGTCATGGTTGTCCATTCGGCCATAGATTTTCATCGTTGGATCTTTGTCTTGCCAATACTTTAAAAGAATAGGACGGACATACCCATGCATATTTCCAGCAAAGAAAGCAAGGAATTTTCGTTGGCTAGGACGATTTCCCCCAAGGCTTCTCGAGGGATTACTTGAGACAATGTTTGTTTCTGGTAGAGAAGCATCCTTGCCAAACTTGAATCCTTCTCTTAAATCAGCATTGCATAAAGACTTTATGCAATTGGCCATCTCACGCCTAGTTTCTTCCGGGGCCTAAGACAAAAGATATATAGGAACACACTTCACAACTCCTATCAATCAAAGTGAGACAGATTGAACATAGATCATTATAAAAACTTGTAACAACGTACCCAGTCGTGGCAAGCAACAAGAAAATGGTCAGCTCCTTGTGTTCTGTTCCAGAAAGGATATCTTCCCTTGATCAAATCGAGGTACTTGTTCAAAAATGCTTTTAATTTATCGAAGCTGTGAGAACCAGGCACGTACACCACTTCTTCCAATGTTTGAGAACTAAAAGGCAAGTAAAACAGGTGTGCTTTGTTTGGGTCATCGGTGAGGAACTCCTTGCTCGCTTTTAACTGCTTCATGAACCAACCTTCTGAAGCATAGATGCCCTTGAGCTTTGGTTGATGGAATACGGGTCTCTTGCCCTCCTTATAGATGTAAATCTTGAGATTCTGTTCCATTAACTCATAACTCCTGCATTTTGATGAATGAAATCTGGTAAACATATCGCTAACTGCTATCTCACGATTCATCCAAACCAGCAAAAGCCAATAAGTAACTACTTAATAACCAATGTCAAGCTGGAAGAAATTCATAAGCAGATTATGCAATACACAGCTTATAAATGATCCTTCAGTTAAGACCCAAATTTGATAACAGTAGCAATGAATAGATTGTTATCTTTCCACAACAACTTTAGTAAATCAACAAGAAATGAATTTGTAAGCTATGAAAACCTCTAATACAATAAAGTGTACCTTTTAAACTTTGAAACATTGTGATAAATTGGTGCATATAGGCCAACATCACTGATATTGTTAGGTGCAGTTTCAATCTGTGATTTTGCACTAAGCAATTCTTTATCACCAGCTGAAGACCACGCCGGATTCTGCCAGAATTCAATAAGCAAAAGGAATTAGAAACGATTCGATTCAACGAATTGGCCTTTCCTAATCTTACATATACCTATACATACCGTTAAAAGGTTTGACGGGTGACTACTCCGAAGCAACATATTAGTCATTTCAGATATTGACACTACACCTTCCAAAGACGCTTTTTTCGCAGCAGGAGTTCTTTTGGTCATCGTGGAGCCATTCCCTGACAAGGCATGATCATTTCTTAATAGCCCTGTTGCTTCATTCGGATTATGAGAACTAGCCAATACAGTCGAATTATCATCGGTGTCAACACGCCTATGTGAAACAGAGGGAGCTGGTGAATTCATCAGGTGTATAGTGGCATTCGTCGAGTTTAAAGGGACAACAATAACAGCTATTTCATCAGTCGGAGAAGGTATAGGAACAATCAAATTATCATCAACTTGTGGAGGTGATGGCGGTGATTCAGTGTTCGATGGTGGAGGTACAATATTATCATCTTTATTTTGTTGTTCAAACACCGGAGCTACATTTCCATTGTTACCTCTGAATCTATTCCCAAATTCCATAACCCTTTGTGGTGCTAAATTCGTGTTTGGTTTCAGCAATTCCACTCCAGAACTGTCATCATTCTTCTTTGATTCAATCGAAAAAAACGAATCGCTTCTACTGATTTTCTCATCAAATCCACCAGTAAAATTGATTTGTGTATTGACATAGTTCATTCTATTGAAGTTCATTCTAGAAAACAAAGATCCTATGAAATTCCCATACGGAAGTTCACAAAATTGAAAAAGTATAGAAAATGCAAAAACACCTCCCATTACCCATAACACTCTCCTTGTCTCAGCCCGGCACAGAAAATCAGCAACAGCCATAACTTATAGGTTGAATTCACCACTTACCAACATCTAAAATCCCCTGTCAATTTTCCCAAAAGAAGAAATCATCAAAACCAAAAAGATTTCAAAATGAAAAATTGATGATAAAAATCCAAATTCACAGGGAGAAGACAAAAGTTAGATATGATATAGGTTGATACTGTATCTATAAATACCACATGCAGTGTTTAGCCCTAACAGAAGAAGAAGAACAAGTTTGCTGACCTATTCTTCGGCAACTTTGAAGTAAGTCCAAAGAGTATATTTTTTTATTTTTTTTTTTTGGCTTAAGAAATATGACCAAATTAGCACTAAATTATTACAATTTACAACTTTAATCCTTACAAAATTTTCTACTATTTAATTAAAAAAATACCAATAGTAAGGATTTTATCAATCCCAATAAGAGAATTTGGTAAATTCAAATTTAATCGAATTGAATTAAAAAAATTTGAAATACTAAGAATTACATGTCCTAGCATTAAATTGAACAAGTGTGCAAATCCATGCAAGAGGCTAAATTTTGGGCGCAGCTTTTAATGAATGCCACATGTCCTCTTTTAAGTCAGAGATTTTTGTTCTTATTCTTTTAAAAAAATTATTATAATCATTAGAGTTAAATTTCTAACGAAATTTTATACATATCTTACTAGTCACCAGATTCATTTGATCCATCTTATGAATTTTCTATATTGAATCAGTGAGTATTGGATCTAAAAATGAATCCTAAGAAGATATATAGCAGTGTTTTGAAAAATGTTTTAGAGCGAGTCTTGGAGCAATGCATGTTAAAGATGCTTCAGAATGTAAATAAAAGACGTATATTCAAAAAACGTAAGTTTTAAAATTTGAGGTGTAAAGCCTGACATAAAAACGTAAGTTATGAGTGTAAAAACGTACACTGGATGTTTTTAATTTATTTTTTAAAAAAAAATTAGTTTAAATCATATTTTTACTATTGATGTAATGATATTTCGCAAATACTAATTATAATATTTTGTTTCTATATTATTGTTTATTAATATTTATCTCGATAAAAGTTATGAATTATTGAAAGATTTATTTTTACTTGTTATATTAGTAATAAAATCTATAAAATTGAATATATATGATACTACGCCTCCTAGATATATGAGACTTATCCATGTCTCGAGATTTACGCCTCGCCCTATACAGAAACGTCTCGCCTTATGTCCTGGTTTTTAAAACACTCATATATGGTATTTGTAAATTTTCATTATAAATAATTTTTTATTAGTATTTATCCTGTTTGAAATATGTGTATAATTTGATGATCATATTATTCAAAAATTATGTCGAATTTTTTGACATTGATAGACACGATATTTGACGTAAATGTCACTCCATTTTTATTTTCTTTCCTTTAATTAATTCCTCGTGATTGGATTTAATTCTCTTTTTCTGTTCTTGGGATTACTTATATATATGGTAAGTTGTTAGACTTCAAATCACTCTACCTATATCAACATATTCATTCACTTTTTTTCCAATTCTTCAGACTATTAAGATATATGGCAAGTTGTCACTTGTCAGTAATACTCATTTGATCATGAAAATTAAAAAAAAAATTATTTGAAAATTTTAAAATTGGAATTATGTTTGAGTATAGTATTTATTGTTAATACATAGAATTTGAATATATTTACATTATTTGAATATGTATATAATTTGTGTGGGATTATTTTGTGGAAATAAGAAAATATTTTTAAAATATAAAATAATAAATTTAAAAAGTAAAAATTAAAAGAGTGTTTTGGTTATTTTTCAATTTCCAAATATAACTTCAAAACGTAGTTAAATTTTCATGATCAAACGTTTATTTTTAAGTGAGGTGAAATAATATCTCTGAAAAAAGTAAATATTTTATGGCCAAATGGGTTCAAATCACTCCGACTATCTCTACATATTGACTTCTTTTTGTATTTCTCATCCGATGTTTAGAGTTTACATTGGAGCTTTGATTTTTGATTTTTGATTTTGTATTTTGAGACCGCATTAAAGCCCCAACTTTTGATTTTCCATCCCAGAGCCCACATTGAAGTCTCAACTAAATCCAAATTGATGACGTCTTATTACTTACCTAGAGTTTAATTATAGTTTTATCTTTAAATATTTGTTTGACAATAAAATCTTATTATATTTTACAATTTTGATCGATAAACGTTTTCAATTTTTCAAGCCAAAATTTGAATTTCTTGATACTTTCACCCATAAATTTTTAATTATTTTAAGTAAACTACATGTCCAAACAAGAGGTAAACATGGTACAGTAATGGATCAAAATTTTTGATATTGTGGTTCCTATATTATGAATTTTTGGTATGATATATGTTAAACATTTTAAACTTTTTTATGTTAGATATTAATATTCGATAATTATGAATAAAATATAAAATATCGTATCAAAGTATATAGTTATATAAATAATTCATATATATTGTTGTATAATACTAATGAATAATGATTGAACAAAATTAAATGTTTAGTTGATAGAAGTTTTGACAATTTTATTTTGATTGAAATTGCTTTCTTCTTTTTTTGTATAATTTGATTAACAAAAAATTGCTTAAATAATGATTGAACAAAATTAAATGTTTAGTTGATAGAAGTTTTGACAATTTTATTTTGATTGAAATTGCTTTCTTCTTTTTTTGTATAATTTGATTAACAAAAAATTGCTTAAATAATGATTGAACAAAATTAAATGTTTAGTTGATAGAAGTTTTGACAATTTTATTTTGATTGAAATTGCTTTCTTCTTTTTTTTGTATAATTTGATTAACAAAAAATTGCTTAATTATACTTTCTTTTTAATACGTATTTATATATGCCTAAGATAATAGTTTGATGTAATTGGAACATTTTTTGAAAAGTTAAAATAATAATTTTATTTTATATGAGTATATATAAGTCAAATTCAATAAAATATAATTACTAATTTATCATACAATAAAATATCGAAATTAAACTTAATAATATCAAACCATGCCAAATTAATGCAGTGGGTTATTATTTTTGAAAATAAAAATCACATTACCGAATCAAATTTTCAAAAATTATACCATATCATATCATATTTGTCTCTACTCCAAATACATAAAAATTAAAAACAAATACAACTTCAAAACCCAAATTTTCAAATTCTACTCCAAAAGCTATTACATCAAATAGGAGTTAATTCTTTCTTTAGACATACAAATCTTTTGTTCTTCTGATTCTCAGAAATAAGATAAATTACTTTTTAGTTATATGCTCTAGTTAATTTTTGTTTTGGCTAAGGTGAGATTTCTCAAATTTAAGTAAAAAGAAAAAGAACTTATTTCACAAAACTTCAAAACCTTTTCAAACAAAATATATGTTCCTATTATACCTTCAATTTTCAAACATTCATTTGTAAAATAACTCCAATTTCTAATTTTTTTTTCAAATATTACAAATTCATATCCAAACTTCTATATATGCTTTAATTTTTTTTAAAATCATAATAAGGGTCTACATCGGTGTTCTTAAAGACTCTGCTGGAATTCGCCCTGGGACTAGACTCATGCAAAATGTCCTAAGACTCAAGTGTATGACTTAGTTCTCTATAAGACTTACGCCCTAAGCGCCCTACTGTACGCTTTAAGTACGTCCAACGCTCGGGGCTCACTTAATAAATTTTAGACAAATTATACGTTTTTAAAATTTTAATTAGTTAACATTGTTGATTTTCATAATTCTTGAATAAATGAATGATACTTCATAATTTTTTAATTTATAGAGAAAAGAAAATTGAGAGTAACTCAAATAGCATGTTGTAGTATCACATCTTTAAATTGAGAGTAACTCAAATAGCAAGTTGTAGTAGTATCACATCTTTACTATTTGATAAGATTGTGAAGGTGATTGATTATACATTACGTAATATTTCTTTTAAATATATGTAATGAAATTTTACTTTTTCATTTATCATTGCTCTTCATGGTTTTGACATAAATCTCAAAGTTATCATATTTTATTTAGTTGTTTGAAAATAATTTTATTTTTGTTTATAATTGAGTGATGTTTTTATCATAATACTAGTAGTTATTTTCTTTTACGGGTGAATTATATAATATGATGAAAAATATTTTTAAATTAAAAATTTAAAGATATTAGATTATTTATACTTGTATAATCATATTATAAGTTTAATTTTCTATGAGTTCATTTATCATGTTTGTAATTATTTCAAACTTTGATATATTTTTATAATTTTATGTTATTATATTATAATTAAAAATTTAATAATTTATAGGACTTACGCTCCACGTCTCGAGACTTACGACTTGCCTTAAAATAAGTAAAACGCATTATTTCACAGCCGCAAATTTTTAAAACACTCATCTACACAAATTCTTCTAGGAAAACACATACACAATTACGAGAGTGTACCAACAGAGGAATCTTATTGGCACATACATAAGCTATATTCTGAAAAATTAGCAAAATACGATTATTATATTTTACTTTTAATGTTAGGCTTAAGAAATAGCAATTCATTATCCATAAATATAGAGTAAAGTTAGGATTTAGAATCCTGATTCTCTCCTTCAAAAATTTCCCCTCTTATTTATTCTCTTAAAATCTTTCGACATTTTTTGACTTATTCGGCTACAGAAAAGGTATGAGTTAAAGAAATATGATTTTGCAAATAAAATAATTGAAAAAAATGAGAAAATATGTTTAGAAAAATAAAATATATGAATCGAAGCCATAAAAAGGTGTCATATATATATATATATATATATACCACATGCTTAACTATTTTTTCTTTCATTTTAATTTGTTTGTCTTATTTTTGTCTATATATATATAATTGCATAAAAAATTATAAATCATAATAATTGACAAATTAAATATTAAATAAAACATATACAAAAACCGATCGCTTATAAAAAAATTTGATTGATTCATAAAATCAATTTATTTATGTCACACAATATGCGACAAAAGAAGTAACATGTTATAATATGGATGTCCATGGACTATACCAAGATGTTACTCTACCCATTATCTCCATTACTTTCCTCCATTATGAAGATAATCATAACCTCCATCTTTATAACATTATTCTTGTAACATTTCACTTTCATAACCTCCCCCATTATGTTCATGTTTATGACTAATCTTTTGTATGCCTCTATGTTACACTATAAATAGAGACATAAATATTCATATTGTATACATTTAAAGATTTGGTGAACATTTGAACGAAATAAAATTATCTCATATTGTTCCTATTGTCTAATATCCTTCTTGACTTTATCTTTATATTGTTCTTTTGTTCTCAAGTTTTACAACAACATGCATTATTTAATTTGAAAATTATGTAAAAAGTATTGTAAATATCAATTATTAACGACATATTAACTCTTGAATTATGTTTGTGATACATAGTACAAGAAAAGTAACATATAATATTTAAAAATTATGATGATTTACAATAATTAACAATTTAAAATATTTAAAAATTATATTAAAATTTAATTGTCTCTCTAAATTTTATCTATACCACATAAAGTGAAGCAAAAAATTAAAAATAGTCGGCCCGTTAGCACATACACTTTTGTCTAATATATATATATATATATATATATATATATATATATATATATATATATTCCACAAAAGAAAATACAAATATAAAGACAAATTTAATGAATTGAGATGTTTATAATTGAGTTTAATTTTTATATGATTTATTTAATTTAGTGAGCGTAGGGAGTGAGTTATTTTAATTAATAAACGAAAATAATAGGATATTTTGATGATCTTAACCCATTAAAGATTATATTTGTAGGAATATAATGATTATTTGATTATTTTTCTCCAATAAAATTTCCACTTTCCTTTTTTTTTTTTTTCATAAAACCCTAGTCTAAACCCCTTCTCTTCATAAAATTGTTGAAGTTGTGGAGCTATGGAGATTGATAGAAAAGATGGGAGAACAGCTAATCAATTGAGACCATTGAGTTGCGCTCGTAATGTTCTTAATCGCGCTCATGGCTCTGCAAGTTGGTCTCAAGGTATTTAAATCATAAATTTGGGTGATTCAATTTAGTCGTTTTCATTTAAAGTTGGAAACTTTTATACTTGTGTACAGGGGAGACGAAAGTTCTTGCTGCTGTTTATGGACCAAAGGCTGGAACAAACAAGAACGAGAATCCAGAGAAGGCATGTTTTGAAGTCATTTGGAAGCCAAAAACTGGGCAGATTGGTTAGTTTCATTAAACACAGTGTCATACACTTTTGTTACTAATTGATGAATGGGCCAATTGCATTGTTTGATATTAATTGTTTGGTGTTGCAACATTATATGTGTGAATGGGGCATGCTGTTTTGTTATTCAAAATCTAATTTATGTTTAGGTAAAGCGGAGAAGGAGTATGAGATGATTTTGAAGAAGACCGTGCAAAGCATTTGTGTTTTGAATGTTCATCCAAATACCACCACGTCAATTATCATTCAGGTGAGACAGTATGAACTTACCTGTTAGAGATTTGTATGTCAGTAGAATTGTAAAGAACTTAATCCTTCGGGGTGACCTAGTGGTTTGGGCTTGGGACTTCCAAGTTCGGAACCCCTTGACAAGCGAGAGCACGGGTTTTGCCTTCTGGGTCGAGCTCGTCGCACCGGGCTTGCCTAGTGCCGGTTACCTTTCCTATGTGGTTTGCGAGCTATTGCATAGGAGCGGGGTTTTACCCTGTGCACATTCAAAGCGTAGCGGCTGCGGGTTTCCCTTGTCAATAAAAAGAATTGTAAAGAACTTCGAGTGTAAGACAGCCTAAACTATTAAACACACGAATGAAAGTGGTTTTCGATGGAGCAAGATGAACAGTGAGTATTCATGTAGCCAACTCCAACTAGCTAGGGATTGAGGAGAGATGTCGTTCTTGTTGTATATATGGGGTTTAGGTCTTCATTTTGTTGGTGGACAAGTTGTTAGCTTTGTACTATAGCTGTAGTCTGGATGGAGAACTTGAGTTTGTTCTTGAAGGAAAGTAATTAACACACACAACTTACTGCTCTTACATGTTTAAAAGACTAGTCGTTGAAAGAAGTCTGAAGGCAATAAACTTACTAGGGAAGTAGTGAAATTTTGGACATTTTTTATATTAGGTAAATTGTTTCTTTGTTATTGGGAAAATCCCCCTCTACAAGCAATATACCAAAAAGTAGAGACCCTACAATAAGACATGGTTCTTGACAAAAGTTACCTATATACAAACCAGAAACTCAAAGGTGCGCCAAAAGGGAACTAGAGGTATCATGATATTCCTCAAATAAACAAAATCTTGTTCTACCTTTCTATTTCTCTCCTTCCAAACTACTCACATAAGAGCTAGAGGAGCAACATTCCATGTTGATAGTCTTCTTTTACCAACTATAACAAGCTTAAGAAGATGATGAAAGTACCTGTAGTGAAATAGATATTTCAGAGCAGAACAGAATGCTAAGTAGAAAGAAGTTCATTGTAGCAGTTACAACTTTCCAAAGAGAAGACAGTGATAGGAAAATATGAAGAGCGAAGCAGTAGGATGAAATGTTGAGAAACGGGCATTATGATATCCCTTCTTTACAAGGGACCAACATCATACATTCATACCATTATCTCAAAGCATAGTGGGCTGTAATCTGTGATTCAAAGAGCATAATATAATGCATGTAAAGAGGATATGGTACCTAATGACGAAGACATAATCACCTAGATTGGCAATGAGTAATGATTATGTTGCAGTCACTTATAAGTTATAGCCCAAGTCTGGAGTAGAGCTGCTAAATGTCCGTTTCACCTTTGAGGGATTAAAGTCAATTGGGCTACATAGATGTTATGAATTTTATTTCTTGTTAATTTCTGTCTTTTCACTTTGTTTTGTCATTTACTCAATTAAGCATGAAAGCTGAAGTGCACTTTCTAGCCACTTTTGTTGGGGCTAAACAGTATTCCCATCAGTATACTAAGATATTGGAGTGCAGTGTAGCAATGATGAACATTACATTTATACACATACAAGACAGTTGTGTCGATTGAACTAGTTTCTGACATCTTTGTTGGTTGGCTTTGTGTCATCTGAAACTCAAGATATCAGAAAACTCATGCTTCTATGCATTATTATGATTTTGTTTTTTTTTTTTGGCTAATTGCGAATTGCTAATTGTATATCTATTTGTTTAATCATAATGATAGCTCCAATTTAAGTTTTGATGCAGGTTGTCAACGATGATGGAGCTGTATCCTTAGTTATTGAACTCTTCATGTTGCTACAATTTAAAAGATTTACACCCTGATATCTGAGAGTGCTCAGGGATATCGTGAAGAGAGCTCTCATCAATTTGAATAAACGATCAAACCATCAAATTGTATGTGAATGAGCATACCAATTTCTTAATCCCAAATGATTAGTTGATTACTTACAAAAGATGGATTGAATATCAGTTTGCATTACAGCTTCATTTAATACTCTGTTCTGGGAACTGGTTAGATTTGATGTTTTTTAAGAGTCAATTGTTTTAAGGGATCATACATTCCACACGCTCGGTCCTGCCAACTGGAGCGTGGACATCATTTTGTGGGGGCCCAACAGTTGGTTAACATAGAACTAGGATGAGTTTGACTTTGATACCACGTTAAAGAAATAGACGTTGAGACTAGCTCAACCTCAAAAGCTATCTCATGAGGTGATGATTGCTTAAGTCCATATAAAGAGACCAAATGCACATTCAACAATAAACGTGGGACAAACTAACGTAGTTTGGTTATACTCTATAAGGTGATCGAGAGTAGGGATGGTGAGAGGACAGAGTATACCTATCTGTCAGAAGGGCGTAACTCTTTTTATGCCACATTTTGTCTATTGTAATATCTAGAAAGTTGAAATTGCAGGAACCAATATCCAATCAGGAGAATGTGACCATGATAAAACCGTTCTGAAGAAACTCAGCAAAATGACCTATCTTTTTTTAAAGGGAACCACCTCTATCTCGTCTATCATGTGATGCTAGAGTTCTGCAAATTACTGATGTTACATCATTCTTCAACCTTGATTTGCTTGTTAGTTAAGAAATTTCCTTGACTGCATTTTTCCTAAGCTTCTTCCATGTGCCATAAATGCATTATGTGCTGCCCTTGTGGATGCTGGCATTCCTTTGAAGCACCTTGCTGGTATTAATCTTCTATCTGCAATTTTGCGATTTAGCATCATTATTTGATAATTTACTTATTGATCAATATGAGGAAAGATGAAATGATGGATACTTATTGTTTTCTGTAGTTGCAATATGTTGTTGTCTAACAGAGAGTGGACATATTCTACTGGACCCTAGCAAGCTAGAAGAACAGGTTTTTTCCATTTAGTCTTTTATGTAATTTGTAAGCTTTTTTAGCATTCTTAACTAGCCCATACTCATGCAACTATAATGTTGAATGATTTGCTTACGCGATGATAACAGAGAATGAAGGCATTTGTATATCTAGTTTTCCCAAACTCGACATTATCTGTGCTTCCTGAAGAAGCATTGAAAGTGAGAGGTGAACCCATGGAACACGGGCTTATAACATCTTCTACGCATGGTGTAATGTCGGGTAAGATCCGAATCTATGCACTTACATTCGTAATGTCATTAATGATTATCTGTAGAAGTTCTTTTTACTGCTATGATTGTTGTATCATCAAAGTTGTACTGGTATAAAACTGCTGGTTTTGTGTTCCCCAAAATCAGCAGTCTATGCTTTTGAGATAGCACTATGCTTTTATTATGTATGGTGGGAGCTTCATTACCTCAAAGTTCTTTGTTATTCTGCCTGGTTATGAAACTTTGGTTTCTGGTTGGAGCTTGTGATTCTGAGAGCCGAGAGTTTAGTCAACAGTTTGTTGATTCCTCCTGTTGCTAGTGGATAGCTATTTGTCTGGTATCTTTACGATTAATCTCTTTGCAACAAGTGATGCATTATAGTTGGTCACTGTAATACATGTAGATATGGAGCAATACCTTCAGCATGATATTTCACAATTGCTCTTAATTTTTTGAATTAAGTAGTTACAACATTTGCAGTCTGTAGTTGTAGTTTGCTTCTCAAAAAATTGTGTTTTAGTTTGATTGCAGAGTCAAATATGTGGAATTAATTCTGTAAAGTTTGTTTTAACCTGCTTATGGAACTGACAAAGAACGTAAGATCTACTGCTAAATTGTATTTAGTAGATGTATGTTGCTTCCCCTTTAACA